AGAACCTGACCTGGCTCTGAGGCACCAGGACACACAGGATCGTCTCCTGGTTGATGCCTTTGTTCCCTGGGCACAGGTGGCCAGGAGAGAGCCTCGTTTCTTCCCCAGATTCCTGGAGCTGAACGCTTGACTTTTGACCAAGGGCCAGCTGCAGTCTTGGAAAGAGCGTTGGAAGCACGGATCCCAGCTCTTTGTCAAGGTGGGTCATTCAACCAGTCTGGGCCTCAGTCTTTCCACACATAAAATGGGCACAACGGTGCCAACTCATGGGATTGAAAAGATGAAATGAAATAAAGGATGAAAGGAGCTTTGTTGAGCAGGAAGTGCCGGATGCACCACTATGTTACCCCTTCCTACTGTCCCTTTATTCTGGAGTCTCTTGCACTAACACGCACTCATTCACAAACAATCGTGGACAAAGAGATGAGCCACGTGCCATCGGGACAGGGCTGTTTCCTCAAAGCTGCAGCACTCAGAAGCATGACGCGAGCCTGGGGCAGGTGTGGCACCCAGGCCACCCCCCAGGAAGGAGCAGCATTTGTACATCTGCCATCCCTCGAATGGCCACCCCACATAGGTGATTAAGATAAAGCTGAGTTCTGGACAGCAAGGGGGTCCCCACCCACTGCCTCTCCCACCCCCAGGCCACAGTGCGGGGGCCACCACCTCCTTCTCCCAGCTCAGGGAGGCACCCAGGGGCTTTGGCAGGAACGCCTGCTCTTGGCCTGCCCTCCAGCTTCCCTGGGACTCTTGATGGGGCCAGAGGTCCTCAGGTGTGGCCCAGCGGCTTGGCACCCTCCCCGGGGCCTGGGTAAAGGGCTCCCAGGCCAGATCCCCACTGGGCCAAGGGTGCAACTCCTTTCACTGCTCCATGTGGGCGACTACCCTCACCCCCCACCGAGCTCCCCGCGACCCAGGCCAGGGCTATTTAGAGGCAGGCCTCTCCTTTTCTGAGCTGCTTTTGGGGAGCTAGACAGGGGGTCTGGACCCCAGGGACCAGCCAGGGCAGCTCAGGCTGAGGACGCAGGCCCCTCTCTCAGTCCGGGGCAGGGACTCCTTTCCCTCGTGCCCGCAACACGAAGTGCTTTCTTACCTCGCTCACTCCCCACGGCTTGTATCTGCCCGTCCCCCGCTCCTCCGTTCAGTACGTGGACTGGGCCCCTGTAACATCCTAGGTATGAGGATGAGGATGACTATGAAACCATCCCTGCCCTGAAGGAACTCATAGGTCATGACCAGAGGTATCGTTTATGGAGCACGTACCACATGCCAGGGACTGTTCTGAGCACTTAACTTTCATTAACCCACGAGGGAGGTAGCACTTAGCAGATGAGGAAGGGAGGCTCAGGGAGACTAAGGAACTTGCCCAGGGTGCAAACAGAGTAGGTGGCAGGGGCAGGATGCAAACCAGGTCACAGTGGCTCCAGAGCCTGCACTCTGCACCTGGCGCTCCCGTAACTGCTGGAATGGCTGAAGCACGGGGGCCCTGCTGGGAGCAAGGGGAAGACCAGAGAAGGGCGAGACCTGAGCTGAGCTCTGGAGATTATAATAATTTATTGTGGTGGGTGTCTCCTCCATGGACTCCCTGAAGACACAGGCTGCCTTTTATTTGTCTCCTTTTCCCCAGAATTCCATACAGTGCCCAGTGCACAGTGGGCACTCAGCAAATAGCTGCTGAATAAATAGGTTAACACAAAAGGTTAAGAGGTGTCGGGAGTGGGAGCAGGTCCTGTTTCTCTGTGATGCCTTAGCTCCCGGCACCATTCTGGGCACGTGAACTTGAACTGAGCCCCACCTCGTTCTGTAGTGGAGGTGGGCAGGACCTGGGGTGGGATCTGGAATGGGGGGAGGGAGGACACCTTCCTTCTGGCTTAGCGAGCTGGGCTGGGCACGTCTGAGTGACCCCACATGAATAAGCCAAGCACACGTAGCCCACAGACGGGTTTGGGCAGGGAAAGAGAAGGTAGATGGTGAATGAGGACAGGACAGGGAGCTGCAGGGGCTGCAGACGGGAGGGCAGGGGAATGAGAAGGGTGACAGAGGAGGAGGGAGACGGCCAGGGTGCCAGAGCTCCACCTACCCTCTGGCCTCAGAGGTGATGGCAAAAATCAAATGGCGGCTGGGCGCGGTGGCTCACGCCTGTAATTCTAGCACTCTGGGAGGCCAAGGCGGGCAGATTGTTTCAGCTCAGGAGTTCGAGACCAGCCTGAGCAAGAGCGAGACCCCACCTCTACTAAAAATAGAAAGAAATTAATTGGACAACCAAAAATATATAGAAAAAATTAGCCAGGCATGGTGGCGCATGCCTGTAGTCCCAGCTACTTGGGAGGCTGAGGCAGGAGGATCGCTTGAGCCCAGGAGTTTGAGGTTGCTGTGAGCTAGGATGACGCCACGGCACTCACTCTAGCCCGGGCAAAAAAGTGAGACTCTGTCTCAAAAAAAAAAAAAAAAATATATCAAATGGCACCTGACAGCCATTTCCCCAGTTCATTCATTCATCTCAGCCTTTAATCCGCTGTGCTCCAGCCGCATGCCAGGCCCAAGAGGAGGAAGACGCCGCCCTGCCCCCTTGGAGCACACCGTCAATGTGTGAGCGCCTAAGTGTGCCCCATGCCAGTCAGGTGCTGCGGAGGAGGAGGTGTTTATCCCAGCCTGAACTTTGAATAAAAGTTCATCTCCAGTACAATAATCATAAGGGTGTGGAGAGAAAGGGGAGGAGGAAGGTCAGATCGGACTGGGGTCGCTCATTGAACCAGGGCCCCGGGGTGCCCAGCCACGTGGCCAGCTGCCTCCCAGAGAGCAGTTTGGGATGGCAGGACCTTGGGGTGGGCTGGGGAGGCCAGTGTAGGAGCCAGAGCTGGAGTTCCCAGCGATTGCCCTGCTGGAGTGCGGAGCTTGGGGGCAGGGAGGGAGGCCAGGGAGGAGGCTGTGGCCACACACCCAGAGTTAGGACCAGGGAGGGCATTACAGCTAAAGCAACATCCACAGGAAGGACTCGTGCAAGGGGTGAGGGAGAGAGGAGGCCATAATGATTCCAGGGCTCCTGGTTCTAGTTTCTAGGTCCTCGAGGACGGGGACAAGGAAGGAGCTGATCTGGGAGGAGGACGGGAGCTCCTCTGCACATGGGGATTGGAGGAGGTGGGGTCCGGTGCACAGTCAGGCTCGGGGGTCTGAAGCTGAGCGGGGCCCCGCCGGAGATTCAGGTTTAGGAGTCACCTGAACAGACAAGTAATTGTAACCCTGGTCATGTCCAGGATGGCCCAAGGGGACTGTGAAGAGGAAACGGAGGAGAGGCCTATGCCAAAGTCCAGGGCACGTCGACGTAGGGAGCAAGCAGGGTAAGAGGAGGCTGCACGTCGGAGCTGAGACTTCCCGAGGGGCAGGGGACTGTGCAGAGAAGTAGGTGGGGGACAGCAGGCCATGGAGCCTGCCGATGAGCGGTTTGGAGTGACAGGACTTTGAGGTGGGCTGGGAGGACAGCAGGACGGGATGCCTCAGGCCAAAGTGGAGCCATCGGCCTGCAGGAGGCAGGGAAGCAGCAGGTTGGGGCTAGGCCTCCTTTTCCCTGAGTCACCCTTTGACTGCCCCTTGCAGCCTCTGTACCTTTCCCCACGTTTCCCACCGCGTGGCTCACCTACAACACCACCACTGCCTTTGTCACTAGACATCCCGCAGGACTGCTGAGCTGGCTTATGTGTCCCTGCACTGTCCTAGTGTGTACCCTTAGTCCATGTTTGCTGGGCACCATCATCATCAAAGAGCTACCTGTGTCCTCTGTGTTTGTCATTGTTGCACCCATGTGCCTTGTGTCCTTCTTAGATGTGCAGCTCCCCAGGCCTGTCCTTGTCTGGGTTAGTGGCTCAGCCCAACTGTGCCCACCTCACCCCCAGCCCTAAATCAGGGCCTTAGCAGGGGCCACCCTCAGAAACCAGGCCAGAACCAAAAATACGTTTGCAAAAAGGCAGGAAACTTTATTGGATTATCTTTTCTTTTTAGTAGAGAAGTTGAGAAACCAAAGAGTAGCCAGGTAGGGCAAGGAAGAGAGAGGCAGGGAGGGTCCACCCAGGGGGAGTGTCAGGACGGCCCTGGGAGCAGAGGGCCTGAGCCCCCCGATCCTTCAGCCCCTCCCTCTCTTCTGCAGGGACATCAGCCCTCTCCTCTGGGTGCTGCAGACAGAGGGAGGCGGCGCCAAGCAGATTTAAGACCTAGGTACGGCGAGATGAGCCATTAACAGCAATGTTGACGCTTCCTGGGAAACAGAGGAGACAAGAGATGCTCAGGCTGGAGAAGACCCACCTCAGGCCAGGTCAGGGCACCCAGGAGGGCTCACAAACTCCTTATTAGTCTGGTGTTGTGTTGATGGGAACTCTATTGTCCCCAAAGGTGGCTCTCTCTAAGACAACCTAGCAGCTCTATGGGGCAGGGCCATCTACTCACGAAAACAGGTGAGCAAATGACCACCTCCACCTCAGCTCCCTCCCTCCGTACCCCTGGGAGCCCAGCAATGCCTCCCTCCCGGCCCCGCCCCTACCTCCAGGAGCAGTGAGCCTAGCCCTGCCTCCCCATGGCGCTGTTTCCTTACCTCCTGCGGAGGTGGAGCCGGTTATCCTGGGAGAGAGGAGAGAAGCAACTGTGAGCAGAGGGTAAGCGAGGACAGAAGCCCCTGAGTTGAACTCTCACTGAGCTGTGCCCCAGTTCAAGGGCAGCAGCATGAACTACCTGCCAGGCTTGTCTGTCTGTCTGCCTGTCTCTCTGTCTGAGAGGCCTCAAGAGGAGAGATCATTGGTGCATTTGCCAGAAGCTTTGTCCTCCCTCTGGTTCACTTAGCCCCTCCCCTGAGCCCACAAGGAAGGCCTGATCTCTGCAAATGGCCGGAAGGCAGTTAAACCACCATATCATAGCTTTGTTTGGCTGAGCTGAGTCTAAGCTCATTTTTTTCCGATATTAGATGTTCCCTCCACAGTCCTTATTCCTGCCCGTCCACTTCAGGGGCCTGAAACAGAAAGGTTTTAAATGTCCCCACAGCCTGATTCAAGAGATCGTCTTCAGGCTCAGACAGGGGACGGTCCCCTCTCTGACACCAGCGGGCTGACCTTTGAGGCCCTGCCTGCTCTACGTTCCGCAGAGGGAGGCTGGAGGGACCTACTTGGCGTCCTGGCCCTCGAGCAGGCTGCGGTAGGTGGCGATCTCCTGCTCCAGCCGTGTCTTGATGTCCAGCAGCACCTTGTACTCCTGGTTCTGGCACTCCATCTCACTGCGCAGCTCGCTCAGCTGGGCCTCGATGCTACTGATGAGCCCCTGGATCTGCTGCAGCTGCAGGGCGTAGCGGCACTCTGTCTCTGCCAGCGAGTTCTCCAGCCCGGCTTTCTGGTGGGGCAAGAGAGAAGATGTTACCGGGGGAGCCAGGCCGGAGGGAGACCTGGAGGAGGTGGCCAGTGGGCAGGCAGCCGCAGGTGTACCGTGCTCAGCTGGGACTGCAGCTCGATCTCCAGGCCCTGCAGCGTGCGCCTGAGCTCCGTGATCTCTGTCTTGCTGGACTGGATCATGGCGGTGCTGGAAGTGACCTCCTTGTTCAGCTCTGCACTCTGGAATTCAAGCAGGAAGGAGGTGACGGAAGAGCTCAGCTAGAAGAGACTGACCCAGAGGCCGTGTCTGTCTGGCACCACCTGGCTACGTGGGGTGAGAGGGCCGGTACCTTGCTCTGGAACCATTCCTCCGCGTCCCGGCGGTTCTTCTCCGCCATGACCTCGTACTGCTCCCTCATCTCCGCCAGCACGCGGGTCAGGTCGATGCCTGGGGTGGCGTCCATCTCCACATTGACCTGGCCGACCACCTGGTTGCTGAACTCCTTCATCTCCTGTGGGGGAGGGAAAGGAAGCTGCGTGAAGTCCCTCGTCCTCCCTTTCCTTGGCTCTGAAAGCTGATGGAGTGTTCTGGAAAGCACTCCCAGGTCCCACAGTGGAAGGTTCAGCCCAGCTGCAGCAGAGGGACCCCCTTGCTCCCTGGAGGTGCCTTGGCCCATGGCAGGCCCAGGATGCCCCTCACCTCCTCATGGTTCTTCTTCATGTAGGCCAGCTCCTCATTCAGGCTCTCAATCTGCATCTCCAGGTCGGTCTTGGACAGGGTCAGCTCATCCAGCACGCGGCGCAGGCCGTTGATGTCGGCCTCCACGCTCTGGCGCAGGGTCAGCTCGTTCTCATACCTGAAATAGTTAAAAAAAAAAAAAGGTTTTGCAAAAGCAAAACATGGGTGACATTAGTCACTCCCCCTACCTCTGCACGGGACCCTGCCACTTCTCCAAGACCTTCACTCTCAGGACGCTCCAATTCCATTAACCAGAGGAGCATTTGTCTAAGCTAAGAGCCTGCTAGGAAAGGAGAATGAGAGAAACAAACTCACTTGAGCCTGAAGTCATCCGCAGCCAACCTGGCATTGTCAATCTCCAGGATGACCCTGTTGTTATTGATGCTGGCAGCCAGGATCTACAAAATACAGAAGAAGGTGACCTCTTGGGGAGGTCCACATGCTTGGGGAGGAGGACTGAGAAAACACAGCAGGACTGGTTCTCATGGGGCCCTGCCTCCTCCCTGTCCTGCAAGCTGGGCCAAAGCACTTCCCTCTTCTACGCAGTGAGAGTGGGGCTGGCCAGCCTGTCCCATCGCCCCGGCATTCTATGTGCGGTCCTGGCAGGGAAGATCCAGGACGTGCCTTTCAGGGGAACAATGACCAAGAACATCTTGGGTTAGTCATGTCTCGTCAGCTTCAGACCAGCAACCTCTGGGGGCCCCTGCTTGAAAGCCTTCCCCGGAAGTCAGAAGGGACTTGGCCCCATGTTCCATAACAAGGCCACGGGAGCAGGCCTCCCAGCTGAGTGTAGGGGAAATCCGACAGCTATTCCCATCCATCCAAATCTCCTGTCCCAACTTTTATACCCCAAAGCACTTGAAACCCACCCCACAGGGCTGGGACTCAGCCCCGGCTGGTGGATTTCTGTTCCGACAGGCTGGTATGCGGGAGCGTGAGGGGCAGGCCTCGGCGGAAAGGAGCCAGGCTCTGGGCCACCCGAGCCTCTGCCTCCCTCCCTCTGCCACCGCCAATTAGGAATTACAGTTTCAGTGGGTGCCCTACAAAATAAACAGTTATTCCCAGAACAATGAATGAACATGTCTCCCTTTCTCTGTTGATTTTAGTCATTCTTCATGGCTTTTAAAACTGTCATGTTTCCAAATAACTCAGTGGGTTAGGATTATAGAGATCGAGTCACTAATAACATAACTGTTTGCAAAGCAGTAGAACTTTTTGACATGATTAATAACAATGATGAAAGTAAACAGTGGGGCAAAACGCATCTGGGAAGCTGTGGCATGAGAAATCCCACCGAGCACAGACTCTGCAGTAAAAGATTAGAATTTTCCCCTGCAAGAAGGGTGTGAATTCCATCCACACCTGTTCCCTGCGAGGCTGCATTTCCTGGCCTCCCAGGCTCTGCCCTGCCCTGAGGACCCCTGCTTCGCTTCCAAGGGCTCACCTTGTCCCGGAGCTCTTCGATGGTCTTGTAGTAGTGGCTATAGTCGCGCTCGGGGCTGGTCGGGGCCTGCTTCTGGTACCAGTCGCGGATCTTCACCTCCAGCTCCGTGTTGGCCTCCTCCAGGGCGCGCACCTTGTCCAAGTAGGAGGCCAGGCGCTCGTTGAGGTTCTGCATGGTGATCTTCTCATTGCCAGAGAGGAGACCGCCATCGCCACCACCAAAACCACCACCAAAGCTACCGCCAAAACCCCCACCAAAGCTACCACTAAAACCCCCACCAATGCCACCTCCAAAGCCTCCACCAAAACCACTACCAGCCCCTCCACCAAAGCTACAGCTCAGGCCACCCCCGAGTCCCCCAGCTGAGCCACCAGAGACAAACCGGGTTGAACAGGAAGAGACACCACGGCCTCCTCCCAGCTGGCAAGAGCCACCCCCAAAACCACCTCCATAACTGGCGGAGGAACTCTGCAGGCGAACGCTCATGGCGAGAAGGAGATTGAGAGCAGGTGCAGAGAGAAGCTTGGCTTGGCCTGGGCCGAGGACTGTGGCTCTTCCCTGGAGTGGATGCCTTTTATACACCCTCCGTGGGGGCCGGACATTTTCTCTCCTCCCTTCCCCACCCTCTGACTTGGTGCCAGCTGCACTTCTGATTCCCACAGCCCAGTTACCTCTGCTCTTCAGGGTGGGTTGTGCCTTTTGGGGGTGGCTATTTTCTAATCCTCAACAAAAGAGATGATTCAGAGGGGAGAGCGTTCTGCCCGCAATTGCCCTTTTGACAGCTGCATTCTGTTCTACCTCTCCGCTTAAGGAGCTCACTCTGCAGGCTCTCAGCCCCACCCAGTATTAGGATGGGGACCGAGCTGCGAAGGTCTGCCAAGGAGCCTCCACCAAGGGAAGGGTGGCTGCAAAGTGGCCCTGTGCTTTGCAAGATCACCGCGGCCCTTGATCTCCCTTTTTTCTCTCCCTAAAACTGCTGACGATGTTCTGGATCTTTCCTAGCTCTTCATCCACTCCCGCACTCCCAACAACTCTGGTGACAAACTGCTTGGTCTTGTAGAACAAACTGCCTTGGAAGTGTTTAGCCCAAGAAAGAAATAACTTCAAGACGATCAGAAAAAGTCACAGTGACAGGGACCTTAGGGGGTCTTCAGGACCCTCAAGCACAGCTGGGGAAGCTGAGGCATAGAACGAAGAAGCCACCTTGCACATTATAATAGCCAATACTCTCAGGGCTCTTACTGCAGACAGGCTCTGGGCTAAGTCCTTCACACTCACTGTCCCATTTAATCTTTGCAACAGCCCCATGCGGTGGGTCCTACTATTGTCTCTATTTCATGCATGAGGAAAACGAGCCTTAAGGGTTTTAGGATTGAAACCCAAATCTGGTTCTGTCTGACCCTCAGGCTCATTTTAAGTATATTTTTCACACTGTAAAATACATACATCATGTGTCCGGCTTGGTGCCTTTTGGCCCATGCATGGCCTGTGTAACCACCACCCAGCACATTTCCAACACTCCGTAAAGCTCCTTGTACCTTTCCCAGCCAATTACCCACACCCCACACCCCTGATGTAACCACTACCAGCCTCTGTCACCATAGCCCAGCTCAGAGGCTCTCAGCCAGGGGCTACTTTGCTCCCCAGGGGACATTTGACAATGTCTGAAGACATTTTGGTTGTCCAGGGATGGGGCTAAATACCCTACAATGCACAGGACAGACCCCACAACAAAGAATTATCAAGCCCAAAATGTCAGCAGCGTCAAGGTTGAGATGGCCTAGATCAGTGTGACCTGTGGTTTCATCGCTCTGTCATACTAACCGCCGTAGCCACACAGCTGCGTCCAGAAGGAAGGTCTTGTAACAACCTGCACGGGTTCTAACGCCCCAGTCGCATGAGGTCCGTCTCAGCGTGTGAGTGTTTGACTAAGAGGACACATGGGAGGAGGTGTCCCAGGTCTGGGGCCAGAGTCCCTTGGGATGTGGCTGAGAAACTCAAGGACTGTGTAATGACCCTGCCAGAGGAGCCCTCACCATTCAGGCTGGAAGAAAAGGCCTTGAGGTGGCCTCTCAGAGCCCGGGGTAGAAGGAGAAGTTTCCAGGGCTGAGCACGAAGGACCCTGGCCTGGGGCTCCCAGCTCCCACTCACTGAGGGGGCTGGGGTTGTTGTGGATGGCCGCTCAGGAGCCGCTTTCTGGCCCACAGCAGCCACGAGGGTCTGGGTGGTACCAGACCAGGGGCTGGGGTGGCACAGACACGAGGTTATCCTGGAACCCCCTTCGCCGATTCAGCAAGACCAGAAATGAGAGACCTGAGTCAGGGCTTTCTTGCCCTTTGTTTTCTGGGGTAGGGAAGCGGGCCTGTGTCTCATCCAGCGGCATCTGCACCAAGGAGAGAGCCGGGGCATCTGGCGGTGCTCAACACCCCCCGCACCCCACGGCAGGGCCGGGGATTCAGGCTGACCTCTGTCCCTGCCCAGCCCAGCTCTCTCTCTGAAAAGGGGTGATTCAGCCCAAAGCAGGAGTGCTCACACTCTCGATAGAGGATCAAAACTGACAGCAAGGTGATTAATGGAACTTGCTAGGCCTGGGGTGACAATGCCCCAGTCCTCCCAGGGCTGACAAGCAGGTTCAGGCCAACGCCTCTTAGAGTAACAATGCCGCAGATCCTCCAAAGCCCCGGTAGGACAAACATGGGTGGCCCATGGCATGCCTCCCCTCGCGGGGTCAGGGCACGGCCCCACCCCCCTGCACAGGGACCCATGGTGCCTTCACACAGGAAAGCCTTCCTCCAACACGTGGAGAACACCAGGGCCCACAGGACTAGGGGACACACGCCAGGCCCTCCTGGAGGAAGTGGGGCAGAGACCCCTCCAGGGACCCAGCTCCCCTCTCCCGTCCCTGGTCCTGGTGGAGGCAGGACAGAGCTGGAGCCAAGGCACTGCTAGCTCGGCTTGGGCTTTCTGCTTTGCTTTTTGGCAAAATAACACCAAATGACTGCAATCCCTCCCCTGTACCGTTTCAAGGGAAGAGAGGGAAACCTGCGAACCAGGTAGTGCTTAACACGTTGTCATTGAGTCTCACAACCACAGGAGAGCGTTTTTATTAGCCCCATTTTATAGATGAGGCAGCTAAGGTTCAGGGAGGGTAAGTCACTTGCTCAAGGACACCATGAAGTCAAGATTTAAATCTGGCCTCTGGCTCTCTCTACCCCGACGGTGTCTTGGCAGCCTTGCTGTGAACTCAGACGTATGATCTCTGAATGTTCCTAAAAACCTTGTAATTTCCTTGAGTGACAGGGATGCTAGGAGCATCTTTTGTTCTTCTAACACTTGTTCTTTGAGCCCAGTTTCTGACACAGAACTTTCAATCTCTTGGAATACCCTGGTGATTGGAGCATCTCCTGTTCTAATGAGGTGATGCTTCGTGGGGTCCTGGTGGGGGGCTGGTCACCTGAAATACTTTCAGCCGCAGCCCCCTCCTCCAGGAAGGGGAGAGGGACTGGACATTGAATTAATAATTGGTTAACATGTTTATGTAATGAAGCCTCCATACAAGTCCCCGAACTAGGGTGTTCAGAGAGCCTTGTGTTGGTGAACAAGAACACATCCGCATACCAGGAGGGTGGTGCACCCCGGCGCCACAGGGACAGAAGCCCCTACACTCAGGACACTTTTTGCCCTGTGTATCTCTCCATCTGGCTGTTCATTTGCATCCTTTAAAATACCCTTTTCAATAAATGGTAACAATGAGTACCCTGCTCTCCTCGGTTCTTTGAGCTGCTCTATCCAATTGTCAGACCAAGGAAGGGAGTCATGGGAACCTGTGATTTGTAGCCAAGTCAGACAGAAGCTGCGGGTAACCTGGGGACCTGCTACTTGTGACTGGTATCTCAAGTAAGGGGCAGTCTTGTGGGACTGAGCTCTTCTTCTGTGGGGTCCGTGCTAACTCCAGGTAGAGTCAGAAGTGAATTGACTTGCAGGATACACAGTTGGTGCCGGAGAATTGCATGGTGCAGACTCACAGAAGTGGTCCGTGTTGAGTATGAGTATAGGTAAGAAGGAAAAGCAGTTTGTTTCTCCTATATTCATGTTCTATACATGTTAAGAGATAATAAAGATAACACTAGCTAACATTTATTGAAGACTATGTTAAACGCTCTTCGTGTACGAGCTCAATTGGTCCTAAAAACAACTCTACTATTTTTATCATACTCTTTTTTCAGGTGAGTAAACTGAGGCCCAGAGAGGTTAAACACATTGCGCAAACGAGAAAGTGCGATTGTGTCCATGGCGAACCCCTTTCGGGCCAGTGTGAGCACCACCCCATGCAAGCAAGGACACCCTCTGGCCTCTCCCTTTCTCAGGCCAACCTATCACTCCAGCTGGGGCCAGCGCATGGTCCTGCTTGCTGCAGCGGCTAGGCCTGTGCAGCCAATGCCGTGACAGGGCAGCCTGTCTGCCATCTGTCCCTGGTCTGAGCTCCAAGGCTCAGGGGCCTGTGGAAGTGCTTGCTCAGCACAGAATTGTTGCAGGACCTTCCCATCCAACCACCATCACATGTGTGGAAACTGAGGCCCAGAATGCTGAAGCCCAGAACAGTGGGAACAAGAAAAAATTTTCCAGCTCTGCCGCCAGTTCACTGTGGGCCTTACGTTGAAGTGATTTCTAAGTTTCCTTCAGCAAGCTGCCTTTCTGAGTCTCTGGTTTATCTGCAGAGCTCAGGCCTAAACCCTGTCCCCCAGGTCCTAATCCGGAACTCCTTGTTTGAATCAGACACTGCCCTCTTTCCCTCTCTCTCAGGATTCCAAGGGGCCCCGAGCCCAGGACGGCCGACTCACCTCCCAAAGGGTCTTGAGGCTCCCCCACAGGGGAGGGGCCTCTCCTAAAAGGCAATCTGTCCCCAGACAGTCACCCCAGGCTCTCTGGGCAGCTCCCCACTCCTCGGAGATGCCTGCTTGGCATTACTCAGAAGTCCTTGCAGACATGCCTCAATGCCTCAGGCCCCTGCATTGCTATAGCACTCAGCTTTCTAAAGTCCCTTTGATACCACCCGGACTTCCCAGAAACTCAGCTAAGTCAGCAAAGGCTTCGGACAAGGTAGACCAGAGTTTCAACTCTGCATCTGCAATTGACTAGCTGTGTGACCTCAGGAAAAGTCGCTCAACCTCTCAGTGCCTCTGTGGCCGCCACTGGAAAGTGGGCATGAGGTGAGTTAGTATTTGAGGCTTCTCAAATACCTGAGATGTGGGAGGCGCTGGGCAGGTGGAAGGTTGCCATGGCCTCCCTCTTACAAATGAGGAAATGCAAGTCACCCACGGGGAGTGACCTGTCCGAGAATTCTTCTGAGCCTCCACCCGGCACTGACACGTTTCTTTGCTCACAGCAACCGGACAAATGGCAGTTGGTGGCATTCCTAGTTTGTTTCTCTCACTCCATCTCAGGTTCCCTAACGACAGGATCTTTGTCAAATGTGTCTCCAGATACTGCTCCTGGCACAGGAAAGCCCTTGATAAATACCTGAGAAGCTGTTTCGGGGATACTTTGCCTTTAGGTGGGAAGGAAGAGCAAACGAGAGTGGGGTCACCCCAGCCCCAAATCTCAGAAGAAAAGCTGTCAGCTCCTTATTTTCTCTGTGCTGCCTGCTGTCACCAGGTGGGCACACTCCCAAGATACTGATGAACATGCAAAGCCATGTCCAAGCGGGAGAAAGCAAAGGAGAGGCAAGTTTGTGCATTAATTTTACAAATACATATTTAGCACCCGTGCTGAGCGTTCAGTGGTGAATACAGTGAACACAGTCCCTGCTGTCACAGATCTTACAGTTCGAGCTCCCCCCAAGGTCCCAAATACAGAGCATCTCATAGAGACTTTAGCAACCCTCTCATCCAGCCAGACTCCCAATTTACAGATGGGGAAACTGAGACTCGGAGAGAGGCAGGGACCAGCCACAGTCCTCAGGGAGACAGTGGCAGGCATGTCCCATGCCTGCTCTGGGAAGCCCAGCCTGAACACAGGACACACCCAAGGTCCTAATCTCTAGTCCCAAAGCCACCCTCTCTCTGTGGGGAGAAGGGAGGGGATATCGCCTGCTGCCTGCTTCCCGGATTGGCTGAAAGCCAAGCCTGAGCTCAGCCCAGGGCAGGCGGAAGGTGCACCACCTCTGTCCACAGACTATTTAAGGGCTTAGCAGGGCATAAGACATCCCTGGGGATGGGTGTCTCACTCCAGAGTCAGGCTGGGGACAGGACTTAGCAAGTTCCAAGGATTTCTCTGATAGCCCCTCCTGGAATCCCAGGAGAGCAGAAATAGGCACTCCAGGGAGATAGAAACAGATTGCCCTCCTACCTCCCAGCTTGGGGTCTGGCCCCGAGAGAAAACACACTGGATGTGGCCCACGGACTGAGTGCCACCTTACCTCTCTGCTCCTTTTACAGAGATCGTTATTTTTGGAAACTAAAAACTGAGGAAACCCTTTGCTGCCTGTTTGGAAGGCCTGAGACCTCTCGACAGAGGCCCAAAGGCCAGCGAGGCAGAAGCAGCAGCCGGGCCACTAGCTACAACTGCCAGGGGGCTTGGGAATGAGCCCGGCATGTTCCCAGGGGGACAAGGAAGCTGACGGTGTGGGCTTCAGTGTGAGCTTAAACCACAGCATGCGAGACCAAGGCTAGAGGTGAGGACAATCTTCCTGACGCTAGTAGCTGTATGACATTTGAGGAGGCTGCCCCCAGAGGGCAAGAAATGGGCTTTGCATTGGCACACCCTCTTAAGAAAAGTGTCTTGGCTTCTGTCACCTCATGATGTCGGGGAAAAGCAAGGGCCTGGGACCAGAGAGACCAGCCCCATTCCCCAGCTTGTGACCTCATTCAAGTTACTTAACTGCCCCCAGCCTCAGTTTCCTCTTCTGAAACTGACTTCACAGAGCTGTGCGGAGTTAATGAGATGCAGCCATGGCAGGCCCTGCCCAGAGCCTGGCATATGGCACTCAGTAAATCCCATCTCCTTCCTCCAGCCCCAGGGAAGCCCAGCCTCCGTGCGTTGTCAGGATTCTTGATTAAATCTCCCCCAGAAAGAGCAGGCATCACCTTCTCTCCAGCCCAGGCTGGTGGGGAGGGGACTGTGCCCAGCAAGACACATGAGGACCTTCTCAGAGGGCTTGGCTCTTCCCTCAAAAGATCAGATTGTCCGAAGAACAGAGACACCTCCAGGCTTCCCTTCCCAGTGGGACTAAGAAACCGGTTCTCCCTCCCTGACCCAATCCTCACCCCAGGGCCTGAGCCAGCCCAGCCTCCGCACTCCACCCGGAGTTCGCTTCCTCTTCCTCGTTTCCTGCCTCTGTTCAAGGCAATAAATCCCAGAGCTCAGAGAAACCAGCCCCAGACCAGAGGCAACAAACCAGGTATGCAGTGGATGCCGCTGCTGTAACAGGCCTGGGGTGGGGACACCGGGGGTGGGGACACCGGGACGGAAAGCAGGGGTGGGATGGGATCGAGGAGGGCCAGAGTGGTGGCACTGCTTTGGACTTAAGCTTGGGGAAATCGGGGAGGGTGGCTTCAGGGGCATGGGGGCCAGCTTTGCAGGGGATAGAGGTGGAAGTTGGGAGTTCCTGGCTGGAAAGGAGGGAAAGTCGAGAAGCACCCGTGGTGAGGGCCGGAAGCAAGGAGGGTCCTGGCAACAGCCTGGGAAGGGGACTGGGGTCCCAACAAGCCCTGGTCTTGGAGTCCTCAGGCCCAGCCCTGCTTGGTACCATCCATCCACGAGGCCCAGGCAAGTCATTCCTCTCTCTGACTTCGGCGTCCTCCTCTCTAAGATGGGAATAATAAATCCTGACTACCTAGAGCGGTGAGGATTAAATGAGACACACGGGGGAGTGTGCCTAACACCGTGCCAGCCTCACAGTGTTGAACCGGTACAATCAGTGCAATCGGTCACTTAGTAAATAATCATTAGATGCATTGAGTGCTGTGCTGGGTGCACTAACTGCTCTGGGGAATCCCCCACTCCCACTTCCCCAGTCACTCCATGGGGACAGCCAGAAGAGCAAGTCACCTGAGCAGCATTGGGTTTGTTTCAGGCACCGGCACCCTGAGCACCCCAAAGAATGAATTATGGCCATGCAGGGAAGAGGTCAAAATGGGAGGACATGTCAGCATGTGGACCCTGGGCCTGCTCAGAGGTCAGAGGCCAACCTGGACCCCATCAAGAAAAACGAGACACGCTACCAAGAGATATTTGCAAAAACAAGGCAATTCCTTTGGGTATTTTTGCTTTTTTTGTTTTTTGTTTTTTGGTTTTTTTTTGGTTTTTTTTTGAGGCAAAGGAAAGAGAAGTTTATGACTTTCCTAGAAAAGAAAGAGGATGGAGACTTCTGTCTGAAAAATGCCATCGTCCTGATAATAAGCAGAACTACAGAGTTTTTAAAGGGCGGGTTCTCCGCGTCAGGCAATTGCTGTTCAACTACAGTTGATGATCCTGATCATCCTATCTTTGCTGTCCCACCTCTGCTGAGGACAGTCCCGTGACCTCCACCCAGGACCTCCCTCCCCAGGTCCTGGCTGAGCCATCTCCTGTAGCACAAATAACAAAAGACTCACCCTGCCTCTCCCAACCGCTGGCCTGAGGCAGGGATGCAGGTTTTAGTTCTCAAAAAGGAGTGGAGGATGTTTCAAAGAAACAGGAAATATTTTTGAGGAAAGACAATTTTTTATTGCATGAACAGACACCGCACAAATGAACTGGTTACACAATTCAGCTGCTTCTGCTGGGGAGGGGTAGAGGGGAGAAAGGGCGAGCATGCAAAGCCCAAAGAAGAGGGACCCTCTTCAGCTGGTCACTCTCTGAAGGTGCAAACTGGAGTCTCCTTGTCCAGCCCCTCTGGCCCGTCCTCCACTCAGCCTGGGGAGGGTGGGGGTGGCAAGGGACGTTTCCCCTGCACTGGGCACTTAGATTTCTCACTAGCGGGAAGAAAACTTCTTTTCATCCACCGACTCCTCTATTTTGATGTGCAAATTGCCACTGCTGCTGCCGCCGCCACTTCCCAAAGCAGCTACGGAGAGAAGGGGCAAGCTATGGAGTGGGGGAACACCCCTTCTTGGTCACCCCAAGGTGGCCAGGACCTTGGCTGGGCTCTGGGAAAACTGGACAGCACCCCTGAGAATGGCCACTGGTCAGTCCTTCAAGAGCTGCCAGGGGTCTGGTGTTGAATTACTCATCAAAGAGATGGGCAGTAGGGAGCGACAACAGGGAGTAGCCATGGGCATCTTACCAGAAGTGCATGCAGATGGGGCCTGGGGGAGAGACATGCCCTGCACAAAGCCTGCTCAGCCTGGAAGTTTCTCAATAAATCTCCAACCCCAACCCTACCTGGGGCCAGTAGAGGGTCCCACTGCGGAAGGGGTATCAACTGAAATGGGAGTGTCCCTGCCTTACTGGGGAGTTTGGTCTCTTTCTCCTTCCCCATCCCCAAGGGGAGCAGTGGCTTTAACAGCTCCCCACCACCATCCCACACCAGAAGAGCGAAGCCGTCCTACCTGCCCGGATGCCAATGCCAGCCATCCTGAAAGACAGGGGGAAGCAGATGTCAGCAAAGCGCAAAAGCTCAGGTGTCCCTAGGAGCTCGCGTGGACAGTGAAGCAGCCCTCTCCCGCCCACTCCAACACCACCCCCACACCCTACCCTAACCCCACACTCTGGAAGCTGTGACACTCTGATACCCTGACACTCATCCAGGCCTGCTACCCCCGAGTAGACACATTCTGCTCTACAAGAACGCACCATCTACTTCATGCAGAGAATGGAACGAGCATTAGATCTCAAAGGCTACTAGTCCAGCCCCGACCACTGACAGAAGCAATGCAGGACCAGACAGGGGAAGTGACCTGCCCCAGGCAATAGCGAAAGACCAGAGCACAGAGCCCAGACCCTCACTCCTTGCTCGGTGCTCTTTTCGTCATCCCTCGAAGACACTTGGAGAAACCCTGCAATCCCCTTAGGGTGACCCTGTGCCCCAGCCACACCCAGACCATCCTCATCCCTCCCCCTGTGCCTATGCACCTACTTGGTGTCCTGGCCCTCCAGCAGGCTGCGGTAGGTGGCAATCTCCTGCTCCAGCCGCGTCTTGATGTCCAGCAGCACCTTGTACTCCTGGTTCTGAGCCTCCATGTCGCATCGGAGCTCGCTCAGCTGGGCCTCCAGGCCGCCGATGAGCCCCTGGATCTGCTGCAGCTGCGTGGCGTAGCGGCACTCTGTCTCCGCCAGTGAGTTCTCCAGCCCGGCTTTCTGGTGAGGGGACAGATCCACAGACACATCAGGCTAGAGAGGAACCCGCCGAGGCCACAGGGGCAGGCGGGATTGAATGGAGTTCAGGGAACGACCCCTGAGGGGGCTCGAGAACTCCAAGGCGTAACCAGCTGTGGGGGGTGGGAGCATCTGTTACCCACCAGGATGGGGCGGGGGCTGTACCATGCTGAGCTGGGACTGCAGCTCGATCTCCAGCCCCTGCAGGGTGCGTCTCAGGTCTGTGATCTCCGTCTTGCTGGTCTGGATCATTTCCGTATTGGAGGCCACCTCCTTGTTCAGCTCCTCGGTCTGCAGGTCCCACACAAGAGTAATGAGCCGTGGCCTCCTCAGAGATTCAGGGGATGGGGCCGGCGGGGTGGGCGGGAGGTCAGGACAACCTTGCTGAAGAACCAGGCCTCCGCTTCCCGGCGGTTCTTCTCTGCCATGGCCTCGTACTGCTCCCTCATCTCTGCCAGCGCGCGGGTCAGGTCCACACCTGGCGCTGCGTCCATCTCCACGTTGACCTGGCCGGCCAGCTGGCTGCCGAACTCCTTCATCTCCTGCAGGGTGGGAGGAACTGTTTGGAGACAGAGGGCAGAAGACAGCCCAGAGTGGGGCCCCGCGTGTGAATCCTGGCTCTGTCCCTAACTCACACTGTGAACTCGGCACACCACCCCCACAGCCAACCTGTGTTCCCCTCTGCACATGGAAAGCTCTGATCACACGGGTGCCTCAGTTCCGGGACCTCTCGTCTGCTCCAGATCCCACCAAGGGAGCACCCGAGACAGCCAGGCCCTGGCGTGAGTTCACCAAGCTAATCAGGAAGGCAACAGTTCACACTGGCCACCTGGCCTGGCCGTGGGTCTCGCCCGCAGAGGACAGTGTCTCTTCCTCTCCACAGGGACCCCTGTTTTTGGTGGGGGGTGCGTTTCTGAACCACTAGCCCCTAGCCAGCCCTGACGAGGCACCAGCAGCCCCATGGCCTCCCACCAGCCCCAGCGCCTGCCCGCCCACCCTTACCTCCTCATGGTTCTTCTTCATGTAGGCCAGCTCCTCGTTCAGGCCCTCAATCTGCATCTCCAGGTCGGTCCTGGCCAGGGTCAGCTCATCCAGCACCCGGCGCAGGCCGTTGATGTCGGCCTCCACGCTCTGGCGCAGGGCCAGCTCATTCTCATACCTGGGAAGAAAGAGGGAGCCCAAAAGCAAGAGGGGTGAGGGGCCTGGGATGCCTGAGCCCAGGAAGAGCACGGCCAGGGGAAGGGGGCAACACAGGAAGGGGAGAGGGAGGCGGGCACGCACTTGAGCCTGAAGTCGTCTGCAGCCAGCCTGGCGTTGTCGATCTCCAGGATGACACGGGAGTTGTCGATGGTGGCCGCAAGGATCTGCAGGAGACTGGGAGTTGGTGCCAGGAAGACTCCTCCCTCTGCCCCACCACTCTCTGCTCTGCGCCCAAGGCCAGCCCCTCACCCACAGTCTCCCCTCTGATGCTGCCCGTAGGGCCCCGAGGGCAGGCAGAGCCCAGCCTCACCTGGCGTGCCCATTACTTGGCCTACCCCCATGCCACCGTCCCTGGGACACCTGAGGGGTTGCCCTCCCTGTCTCCAGGGCATGAAGGGCCGGGGAGGCAGCACTGGCTGGAATCTCCTGTGGGGACTGGCTGCCCCGGTGTGGGGTGGGGCACATTGGGCTGTGACAATAGCCCTCTCCGCGATGCTCCACCAGCCCCCACTCTGGACTACGTGGCCGCTGCTTCCTGCACACCTTGGACACAGCTATGGACCTACAGAACGCTCCAGCCAGTGAGGACCTGGAGGGCAGCTAAAAAGGCATTTCACAGACGAGGAACCCAGTCCCAGGAAGGGAAAGGGCGAGTGAGTGGGGGGCAGAACCTGTAATGAGTGCACAGGTCTCCTAAGTCCCGACAATGCTTTTGGCACTAAAGACACCCTCAGAGGGAAAGGCAAGAGGTCCTGGCATTTCGGGCTCTTGCCAGAGAGGTAAAGGAGCACTTTACACAGAGCCCTGCAGGGTGCACAGGGTGAGGAGGGCGAATGGCTCTTTGCATGTGCTCCACCTGTGTCCCGTTGGTCCTAAGATTCCCAACACCCCTCCCTCCCCTGGCACTGCCAAGTTGAGCAGATGTGCGCCACAGCTGCACCTGGAAAGCAGGTGCATTCCAAGTTTGCCGAGGTTACACACCAGACAGTCATTGTCTGGGCAGGAAAGGATTTCCTCGAGTCAGCAGTAGCACTGCCGTTAGAGATGTGTGCAGGGCGCCAGCCTCCTGCTCCCCTGTCTCCGATGTCGGAGGACTTACCTTGTCCCGGAGCTCTTCCATGGTCTTGAAGTAGTGGCTGTAGTCGCGCTCGGGGCTGGTCGGGGCCTGCTTCTGGTACCAGTCGCGGATCTTCACCTCCAGCTCCGTGTTGGCCTCTTCCAGGGCGCGCACCTTGTCCAGGTAGGAGGCCAGGCGGTCGTTGAGGTTCTGCATGGTGACCTTCTCATTGCCAGAGAGGAGACCGCCATCGCCACCACCAAAACCCCCACCAAAGCTACCGCCAAAACCCCCACCAACCCCACCCCCGAAGCCTCCACCAAAACCACTACCAGCCCCTCCACCAAAGCCACAGCTCATGCCACCCCCATAAACCCCTCCTGACCCCGAAGAGACAAACCTAGCAGAAGAAGCTGAGATACTGCGGCTTCCACCTCCCCCATAGAGACTCCCACCACCAAAGCCGCCTCCCCCAGCCCGGAGGGAACCCGCTCTGTTAGAGCCTCCACCAAAGGTGGAGGAAGAAGTTTGCAGAAATGTGGTGGTCATGGCCAGGTAGCCGGTGTCTGAGTTCTCAGCAAGCACGAGAGATGCTGGCAGGGAGGTGCCGGGCTGGGCTGAAACAGAGTGCAGTGCCTGTCACCCCCTAGCTGGGGCTCCTTATATACCCCTCAGAGGGGACTGTGGGACCTGTCTCCTCCCACAAAGCGAAGCCAACTCCTCTACCTTCCTGACAAACACAGCTGCCTGCACACCTCGACAGGCTCGTGTGAAGATTTTCTTTTCTTTTTTTTTTTAATGCAACAAAAGAGATGATTCAGAATTAATGGTGCTTTGCCCCAGGCCATAGTTTTAACACTTGGATGACAGGTTCAGCTCTCCACTCCAGGAGAAAGGAGTGAGCAGCAGAGAGCAAACCCTATTCACAGCACGGCCTGAACAGTTAGAACAGCCCTGGCCAGCCGCGCCCTCAGCCGGACCTCCCCCTGGCCCCAGTCCCAGAGGCTTGCCCCATGGGCTTTGTGTCTCCAGCTCGAAGACCCTGTGTGTGAGCCTGCAGAGCTTGGAATGCAGGTCCCACAGGGACAGACGGAGGACAAGGGGCAGTCTTGGGTCAAGTTCCAGCTAAGGTGACCAGAGGTGCCAGCATCTGTCCCTTCCCTGGTGCCGCAGATGGCCTCTCCTCCTCTCACCTCTGCTCCACCCACCACCCAAAGCCCCCTCCTGTTTCTCTAGCCCGTGGCCATGGCATCCTCACAAAAGCCCAGCGGGCTCAGCGCTGACAAGGGGCTGATTGATGATCCTGCCACCTGCCAACTGCACATGTCGCTGAACCTTGCTTGCTCCTGGGACACGTTGGGGCAAACCTCTGCTGATAAGGCTGGGGCAAGTTCCAGGAAACCCCTGCCTTCTCCAGGGAGAGACAAGTCGCTGCTTAGCAGGGCCAGATTAAGCCCCCGTTTGTCCTGTCAAGTGCCACACGGCTGGGGACTGGCGGATCCAGAAGGCTCTACGTGCCTAAGCGTTGTGGGAAGGGAGGAGACGGGAGGCCTGGCGGCCAGGCTGGAAGACATCAGAGATCTTGAAGGCCAAGGCACACCTCACACAGAAGGTACCGAGTCCAGAGAGGGGAGTCCCACACTCAGAAGAGCCCTTTCCTCTGCCCTTCAGCTCAGGGCCCCCACTCTCCAGGGACACCTGCGGGCGGTGACACTTGGAGGCCTGGCCCGGCCCTCTGGCCCTGGCTCCAGGACTTACAGAAAGCCCAGGGGTGGAGAGTCAGGGGGAAGCTTCCTGGTTGTGACACAGTGAAGTGGACAGGGCTCTGGGCTCCCTCCGGCCTGGGTTCAAATCCTGACTCTGTCAATTACGCTGTGAGATCTTGGACATTTTACTTTTCAAGTCTGTTTCCTTGCAGCCAGGGGCACTCTCAGCTCTCAGCTCCAGGGAAGCCCTGAGGCCCAAGAGCCCCCATCTTCTGAGGGGCCAGATGAGAGGCCACACGTCCAGCACCTGGGCCTCCTGAGCGCCCTCACCAGGAGGGACTCTGTCCTTGGGCATCAGAACATGCCCTGTGAGCCTGACACGTTCCTGGGCTTCGCAGCGCTGCTGTTCTGCAGCCAGGTCCTGTGGGACAATGCGGCTTGTTCTTACCCTTGCTGTAATAACACGATCCTTTACTTCCACTGCACACTTCGCTATTTACAAAGCACTTTTGCACCCATCATCTCTAATCCTCATGACACAGAGGGTGACCCCCACCCAAGTTTCCAAAGGAATGAAATGGGGACTCAGAGAGGTGAAGCAATTTGTGCAAGGTGGCACAGCTGCTAAGGGTCATCACCAGGACTCAACCGGGTCCTGGGACCACCCCCCAACACAACAGGGGACAGGAAAAGAGGGTCCCTCCCTCAGACCCCAAATTCCTGCATCTGAGCTGGGGTGGTAGGAGGGGAACCACAGGCCTTGGTCGGGGGCTTCCCCCACAGTAAGGCTTCACAGCGAGCCGGGCGTCCAAGCATTGGGCGCAGACAGTGTGGTATTGTCTCACCGGTGGGAGGATATTGTCTTTTCCTCCGAAAGAAAAATAATCAAACTCAGATCATCCAGAGCTCATTAAAGCCTCTGCAGACATTGCGGCCCCAGCAATTAACAAGGAACAATTACTCGCCAGCCACCCAGGTGAGGACGGCTGGACCCCAGCCAGCCTGCCTTCTGCACCCTGACCCGCCCCCAGCAGCCCCGCGAGGTGGCGTTCCCCACGCTCGCAGGCCCAGCTGCCCCCTCACTGCCCCGGTCACCACTGCCTGGTTTCAGTCCAAACGGCTACTGCGAGCTCAGGTCTGGGCAGCCCCGGGGACTCCTCATTAGCACCGGGTGGGACGGCCTTGCAGGAGGGAGCTGCGCCCAGGCTGCAGCCCCAGGCCCTGCCCCAGGCAGCCCTCCCAGACGCGGACGCTGTGCCAGTTTCCGACCTTCGCCCACTGCAGCCAGACAGGCCGTCTCTGGAGCGTCCCTCCTTGGGATGGGGCAGTGCGGCCCGATGGAAAGAGCCTGGGCTGGATGCCACCTCTGGGTGTGACTCAGCCCCTCTGAGCCTGGTTCCTGATTTAAAATTGGGCCATTAACAGGGACCCCAGTGAGCATTTGAGGGCACATGGGGAGGGAGGTCTCCATAAACCTGAGAGCCCCCCCCACACCTCCCCGTTCCCCAGGGAGATGCCAGGGAGAGAGTGTACCACCCGCGGCCTGGAGATGTCCCTTCAAATCGCTCCTTTCCCCTCCACTAGGTGTGCGGCTTTGGATACTGACGCTTCCTCTCTCTCAGCCTCAGTCTACCAGTCAGGACAAATGGAAACAACTCCAGCCCCGCCTGATTCACAGAGACAGAGCGAGATGACTGACAGGAAATGCTTTCCAGACAGAAGTGGCCCTGATGACCAGCAGTGACGGGAAGACCTCACACCCCTCTCTCCTATCCCAGGTCTCCTGGGACACAGCTCCCGCACTGAGGCAGAAGAACGTCCCGCTCCAGCCCCTCCCTGACCATGCACACACAAAGGCCGGTTTCATTCCTGACACCCAAGCCAAGACAGGGTCACCTGCCCCACCTGTGGGCCCAGACCAGCCCACAGCCACATTCCAGGGGCCCCCCGAGGCAGGGGGAGGGTTCAGCTGTGACAAAGGGGAAGCTTCTTGGTCAGGGATAGGTATCTCTGGGCAGCCCCAGCCTGGGGGCGCAGCCAGGCCTCTGCCTCCAGCTCTCGGGCTCCCTGAGAATTTGGTGGGGGGGGTTGCTGGAGGCCAGGGCGGAACAGCCAGGGTGGGAGCTGACGGGGCCTCCATCCAGGGCTGCCAGGGCTGCCAGGGCTGCGGCAGGGAGAGGGAAGAGCTGGGCTCTGGGGTCACCTGTCATAACCAGCGGGCAAGCTACCCAACCTGACACCCACAGGAAAATAGAGGACATAGCGCCTCCCTCAGGGTTACAGTGGCTGTGACAGAGTCACAGGCCTCCTTAGCAGGGTGCTGGGCATGGATGCTGTCCTTCATGGGGCCAGCCTGCTGTCACAGAGCTGTGGGGCACACTCAGCCTGAACCTCTCAGCTGCAGAGAAGTGAGGCTTCTTTGCACCTGGAATTCGCCTCAGTTCTCAATACCTGAGCTATAAACCACAGGAGTAGGGCCGTTCCTCCACAAGGGCAGAGTGGTACCAGGAAGCTGGGACTTTATTCATTTGCTGGCCCAGGGTAGGCCCCAGGCAAGCCAGGTTGGGAGTCCGTGTGGGAGGTCTAGGTCACAGCTGGGTCTCATTTCAGGCTCTGGGCCCAGGTATGGGCTGGTGGGTGTAAGGGGCTTATGCAGGGCTGCCCCAAAACGGACGAATGTGTTAGTGCATGCACACACACACCCCCTCGCCAACCTTGCTCCAAGTAGAATGCCTGACCCCAAAACCCCACTTTCAGTTAGGTGGAGAAATGTGTCAGAAGGAACTGCCCCTGGGGATCCCAGTCCTGAGCCATTATATGGAACACAGCTGGAATGCCAGCAAGATGTGTATCAACTCTAGAAGGCCACCTGGATTAGGCAATTTAGATTCTAGTCTTGGCTCGGCCATGTAGTCGCTGTGCAGCCTTGGACAAGTTACTTAACCTCTCTGAGCCTAGTCCCTGATCTATAAGATGCAGCTCATACTATCTCTTAGAGTTGTTTTGATCAATGGCACACTGTAGGTGTTCAGTGAACATTAATTTCACACAGACGCTCCAACAACCAGGGGAGTAGAGTGGAAAGAAAACTAAATCTGGAAACAAAAACCACAGTTTCAAATTTCACCTTTGCCATGTGTTGGAGCAGTTACACATACAACAAAGCATTTTACCTCTCTGAGCCTTAGTTTTACCTCTCTGTAAAATGGAAGCAATGCTTATTTCACAAGGTTGTTGTAAAAGGAACAGGAATTACCATTCCAGTCCAAGTATGTGAGTGCCTTCCGTTCCCTCTCCTAGAACAGGGTGGACTTTGGTTCAAATAAAACCTAAACAGGGCCCAGGCCTGACCCATCTCTCCATGGGCTGAAAGAACAAACCAACCATCCTTCCTCCCCCGGGGCCATAAAATTTTATTGGCAGGTCAGGGGAAGAGCCAGGGGTAAGGGTCCCTCCCTGCCCATGCCTCCTACCCAGGGAATCCCTCTGCAGGAGGGCAGAAGCCCAGGAGCCTGCTTAGATGACCTTGGAGGTGGGCAGGTCATTGTAGTGGGCCTCCTGGCCCTCAAGCAGGCTGCGGTAGGTGGCGATCTCCTGCTCCAGCCGCGACTTGATGTCCATGAGCCGCTGGTAGTCCTGATTCTGCCGCTCACTGTCAGCACGCACCTCAGCCAGCTGGGCTTCAATAGCGCTGATCAGCCCCTGGATCTGCGCCAGCTGGGCTCCATAGCGGGCCTCTGTCTCCGCCACGGTGCCTTCCAGGGCGGCTTTCTGAGGGTAGGGAGACGGAAGGTGACTCAGCAGAGCCTGGTTCCTGAACGGGGCATGGGCACAGCCACCAGCCAGCCTCCCCAAGGCTGCAAGGGCACAAGGGTGCAACCCATGGAGCAGGGCAGGGGGTGAGGGGACACATACCATGCTAAGCTGTGACTGCAGCTCAATCTCAAGACCCTGCAGGGTACGCCGCAGGTCAGTGACCTCGGACTTGCTGATCTGGAGCTGCTCCTTGTTGCTGGTGACCTCTTTGTTCAGTATGTCGATCTGGGACGAGAGAAAATGAGGGAATGAGCACTGAGGCAGACCTTTGGGTGGGGAGGATCCAACCCTCTCTCCGTGCCACCCCCCAAGGGTGCCTGCTTCCCCCTGCATACCTGGCCCGTGTACCAGGTTTCCACGTCCTTCCGGTTCTGCTCAGCCAAGACTTCATATTGGCTTCGCATGTCACTCAGGATCTTGGCAAGATCGACGCCCGGAGCAGAATCCACCTCCACATTGACCTGACCACCCACCTGGCCCCTCAGGACACTGATTTCCTGGAAAGACACAGCAGAGATGGGCATGTCAGAGCCCTCAGCCTCCTGGGCCTAGACCAGGTCACTCTGCCACCTGCCCAGGACAAAGGAGGTTGGTTTGCAGGTGCGGACCTAGGAGCCAGCACGGGGGGATGACTGGGTCGCCACTGTCCCATGCTAGAATCCTGAGAGCCATGATCCACACCCCAGGCCACTCTGAGGGTGCAATAAGTATGACCACAGTCATAGATTAAAAGAGTGTCCTCAGCCCTGGGAAGCTGAGGAAGGATGGACAGAAGGCCCAGCTTGAAACCCACCTCCTCATGATTCTTCTTCAGGTAGACTAGCTCCTCCTTTAAGTTCTCGATCTGCACCTCCAGGTCGGTCCTGGCCAGGGTCAAGTCGTCCAGCAGCCGGCGCAGGCCATTGATGTCGGCCTCCACGCCCAGACGCAGGGCCTGCTCCGTCTCAAACCTTTCAGAGGAAATAGGTGCGGTCAGGCCAGAGTTTCCTTTGCACCCCTGAAGACTTCCCCATCTCCCCAGAGCTCAGGAGTCCATGGTGGTAGAGGGGGTTGCTTCAGGCCAGCTGGGGTAGGTGAGGACAGAGTCCAGTCCACCCCTCGCACTGAGCACTGCAAAGGCCTGGGACTTCCCCCCCACCCTGGCTTCTACAGCCCTCAGGGCAGACCCTCACTTGGTTCGGAAGTCATCTGCAGCCAGACGGGCATTGTCAATCTGCAGGACAATCCTGGAGTTCTCAATGGTGGCACCAAGAATCTGGAAGGCAGAGGCAGGAGTTTGGTACCAGTTCAGTATACAGACACTACCCACCCACTTTCTTCCCAGAAGAGAGACAGGAGCAAATGAATATACCCCCACTCCCTAGAGACAAAAGCCCCAGCCACCCATCTGCTGCCCCCTGGCCTGCTCTCTGGGAGGCCTTGGAATCCTGCCATGCCCAGGAGGAAACACTGGGGCCAGGGAGGCAGGGGCATGGGCGGAGAAGGGCAGGAAATCTCTGAGGCCTGTGCCCAGTGAAACTCCAAATGGCCTGAGGGGATCTACACACCAGATACAGGGAAGTATGAGGGAAGGAAGAGAAGCACAGAGAAAGGCTTACCCTCTCGTCTATGCCCCCCACTCAAAGCACATTCTGCCTTTAGAAAAGAGAATCCCATTTATTGAGTATCTATTAGGTGCCAGGCACTGTACCTATTCTTTTACAGCCTCTGGAACCTCACTGCCAGGCGAGTGGGTACTCCTGTTTTACAGCGGTGGAAACTAAAGTTCAGGATGCCTCGGCCAAGTCCACCCCAACCTGAGGTCTCTCTGACCTGAGGGGCGTACGCACATCACCCAGCTTACCACTGATTCAGGTACCTGGGGTCAGTGTTTTCCAAAGAGCAGGTCCTAACTCATTACTCGGTGCACCAGATGGTGATTTGAGACAGAACAGAATATAAAATATCCGAGGGCATCGCCCACGATAGGGCAAGAATTGTTTCAAGAAACTTTTGCCTCTATTTTACATGTGTGTGCGCGCACAGCCAAGGAAAAGAGAGAGAGAGAATGTGTGAGGGTGCCCAGTAAAATGTATTTCTCATTATAGGTCACGATTTAATAAGCATGAAAAGCACTGTTCTAGTTGGCTGTTGACATCTCCAGCTCTCCGTCTTTGCCTGTGGGTCCTAGTCTACGCCCCCAGCACCCCGCACCATGCCAGGCACATGGCGGACAGTGGATAATGTTTTGGGGGGCTGCTTGTCGGGAGACCCAGCGTGTGGGGCTGTTAAATGTCCCACTGGTTTCTGATCCATTTCTTCAGGACAAAGCTCTTCCCCGTGGGACCCTTAGAGTCTCCCTAAGAGCTTGTGGCTCACACCCCCCAGGGTCTCCAGTCCCTTACCCTCCACCCACAGGGAGCTGCCGCTGTACCTGGCCCTCCCCAGCAGACGTCTGTGCAAGTGTCTCTCCTCTACCCAGCCCAGGGGTCACAGCCCGCCTCTCCTATTCTTCCTAGAACTCCTCTTAAGTCCTGGGTGGGCTCCTGAGTGGCCCCCTGGGCGGGTGAAGAGTGGAAGGAGGCCAAAGCCTGAGCGTGATGGAAACCAGACCTTGCCGGCCAGAGGAAAGGAATGCAGGGGGCCGTCGCGGGGGCCAGGTCGGGCTGGGGCGGACCCGATCCTCCCAGGCCAGACTCCTGCCTCGCCCTGCTGCGGCTGCGGCCCCTGGCCTAGACCGCTGGGCACTCCACAGCCGTGTCCCATCTCCTCCCACTCTTTGTCCCCCTTTTCTCCAGGCCTTGCGAACCCGCGCCCCTCCTTCTCCCCGCCCCCCAACCCCGCCCCCCGCACCTCTGGAGGCCCCGCCCGCTTACCTGCCCCATCCAGTTCCCCTCCCCGCTCTCCCCACCCCCGCCGCCACTTCTGGCCCCAGGGTCCTGCCCCTAGTCTCTGCCCCGCTTCTCTCTGCCCCACCCTGCGGGCCCTCCCACGTCCTAACGGGCTCGCTTCCGCCCCCCGCCAGGCGGGGACCCGGGCGCCACCGCCCCAGCCCCGACCTCGCCGGGCACGCCGGGCAGGTTTCCGCGGCCCTGCCCCGCCGCGGCAGGTGCACGTCCTGCGGCCCGGCAGCCGCCCACCTTTTCCCGCAGGTCCTCGATGGTCTTGAAGTAGTGGCTGTAGTCACGGGACGGCCCGGGCCCCTGCTTCTGGTACCAGTCGCGGATCTTCACCTCCAGCTCGCCGTTGGCCTTCTCCAGGGAGCGCACCTTGTCCAGGTAGGAGGCCAGGCGGTCGTTGAGGTTCTGCATGGTGGCCTTCTCGTTGCCCGCCAGCAGCACGTCGGACCCGGCCAGGCCACTGGCAAAGCCGCCGCCGTAGCCCCCGCCATAGCCCGCGGAGGACGAGGACACGAAGCGGGCGGAAGACACCGACACGCCGCGGCCGCCCGATCCCCCGTGGATGCTGGGCGCGCGGAAGGCTCCCCCCGCCCCAAAGCGCACGGAGCCGCCCAGGCCCCCGCCCAGGCCCCCGAAGGACGAGGTGGCCGACGACTGGCGATAGCTGTACGAAGTCATGGCAAGGAGGAGAACGGAGTGACACAGGCCAGAGGAGCTGCGATTGCAGGAGGAGTGGCGAGGCCCTCACCTGGCGCCTTTTATGCCCGGGGCAGAGGGGGAAGGGAGGAATGGTGTCAGGGGCGGATATCTGAGCCCCGAGGAATTCGCTGGCTCCTGAGTGCAAACATGGGCACTCTCCCCATTGGTCAACTCCTGGAGGCTCTGCCCCCAACTGTCCCCTCCCAGAGACCAGAGGCCCCTGCCGGCCCAGCGCTGTTCCACTGCAGCCCACTCAGAAGCTCCGACCCGCACTCCCCTGTGCTCCCTGTTGGGGACACTCATTCTGGGTCTTCACCCCACCGTACACATATTTAGACAGCCCCATCCCTGGACGTCACATCCGGACCCTCGCCCTTTAAAATCATCCGGAGTTTTACACACAGAATTGCAGTCCCTCTGAGATTACACTCCTACGCACCCCCACCAAGCGACTCTTCGCTCAGAGCACCTTCTCTGGAGTCATGTTAGGACCCCCTTTCTTGTGATCATAATCAACACCCTCCCCCAGGTACATTCACCAGATTGCTAGGCTCCACTGGAAATTACAACCTTCCAGAACCCACTCCCTTGGCGGACCACCCACACCCTAACTCCCTTTTTCCCCTCTGACAAAGGCACAGTTTCCGGAGGAGGGTGCTCCGAGCTGCACGCGCCCTGGAGCTGCACGCACCCTGGCCGACAGAGACAAAGCTGCCCCACCCTGCTGTGGCCATACAATGCCCCAGGTGACAATAGGCTCCAGGGAACAGCTGCAGGGAGCGGTTCTGGCTGCTGGATTGGCACCTTTACAACCCCCAGCTCAAGCCTGATCCCCACCCTGGAATTCTCAAAGCCCACCTCCCACCAGGATAATCTCCTCCCTTCCAGCCCCAAAAGTAGACATTTATGGGGCAGCTTTAATGTTCCCATGATAAGGAAGCTGAGCCTGGGGGAGGCGAGTAACTTGCCCAAGAGGCACTTAGCGTCTCCCACTCAAAGGCAAAAACAGGATGGGATCCCTACCTTCCTGAGCATCTCCAAGGAGGGTGTCAGGATACCAGATCTGTGTGCCTAACAGAGTCCTCCTCATGCTAACACGAGGACGAGTGAGGGGACAAGCTAGGGACAGCAACATGAAGGAGCCTGTGAGCAAAGTGAAGGTATTTGATAATAGAGGCACAGCCCACTCTGCATGCAGCCCCGGCTCTTCCCCCAGTTCGACAATTCCACCTACCTTTTTTAATCTCTTTGAAGGGCCAGGCCCCCCCACCAAACACTGCAGGACACTGCAACAACCTCACCCACATTCCTCTCCCTAGTGACCCCACCTGTCCCCAGAATTGTCCCCAGGGCTCCTTCTCGTCCTTATGGCAGAGCAGCCACCCAGGCTCAGGACAGAGGCCCTGTGCCCTCCTGAGAGCGTGTTACAAGGATGGGAAAGTCACTGCCCATCTCTAGGCCTCAGTTTCTCCCCGTGAAATGAGAGGAGTCCCAGCTCAGCCCTCTCTCCGCATATGATCACCTGGGTCTCTTGTGACCAACAAAGATTTGTCCCTGGCCTCTGAAACCTAAATCCCAGCAGACTGTCTTCAAGCCACCAACTTGTCCTGGAAGAGAGGCAGGAAACCCCACACACACCCCTGAACGCCCAGGAGCAGCTGTCAGCCGCTCAGGAGGGCCACCCTGGTGCTGTTGAAACTAGTGGCTCAGTCGCAGGAAACTGAAGGTCTTTGGGGAACCCTAAAGGGGAAGGAGGGGGGCCTAAGGCCGGCTGTAAAAGCAGGGTGCGGCTGGACCTCACAAAGGTTGTAGCCGCCAGGACTGGTCTGATGTGAGTCACTCTCCTTATCTGGCCCTGAGAAGGCCTGATCCTTGTGGGGGGTGGGGGGAGATTTTCCAGATAGTTGCCATGCACACTGAGCCCCAGCAGGCATCTCTGTGCCCATAGGAGGGTCTGGAGAGGGACTTTGTAATGGGAAACAGAGAATAGGGCCAACAGTTCTACCCCTAAGACAAGGTGTTCTGAGCTCCCTAAACTTCAGAGAAGCTTAGAGTTCCAGCCCCCTACCCCAGGGCCATAACCGTAGAGCATAGGGTAGCACAGTTGACAGATCTCATTGCCTCACAGCAGCCCGGTGGAGGGGGTAATCTGACCCCATTTTACAGAGGGGGAAGCAGAGGCTCAGTGAGAGGCAGTGACTTGTGGGAGGTCCATAGCCAGGAGTATCAGATTCCAGCTTCCAGCATCTCTCGCCTCACCCCATGGCCTGGGATCCTGAGTGTGACAGAGGCTCTGCTGTCCCTTCCAAGGAAGGCTCAGCCCCACAACAGCTCCTTTGGATCCCTTCCCCAAAAATCTTATCATGCCAATTCTAAGGGCAGTCAACTCCAGACTGAACTGTAGGCTGGGGCCGGGGAGAACACCTGCTCCCTCTCTCTGGCCAGAAACAGTGCCTGGCCATGAGCTACCTGGCTTTTGGCACTTCTCTGGTACATCAAGAACGCAGGGGAACAGCCTGGACAGGCTGCCCTCTCTGGAGATGGAACTGGGGGGCCAAACTGTTGCTCCCATTCAAGAAACAGCCTCCACGACCAGGAGTCTCCAGGCGGCCCCTGGCTTCCAGAGGGCAGCGCCTGATCGGCAACGCCTGATCGGCAACGCCCCGGTCCAGAGTCCCCCAACTTGATTCTACAGACCCCTCGCACCGTGCGATCCCTGTGGGAAAAGAGATCCCTCTCAAATAAGGTCAGAAACTCTGCACTCTCTGACCCCCTTTCAGAGTTCCACAATGCACAGTACTAGGAGCCCTGAAAACCTCAGTCCCCCACTGTGAAGTAGAGACGATGATGATGATGATGACACCTATTTCATAGGGTTGTTTCAAGGAATAAATGTGATGGAGCTTGTAAAAGTTTATCACAGTGCCTGGCAAATAGCACTCAAACAACATTCTTATTATTTTATTATGTGATGTTATTGCTATATAATGTATTGTTATTATGATTATGATTGTGAGCATTATTATTTTAGCTTTGTTTAACCAACATTTCCCAAATGTACTGGACTATGGGATCTTTTGTATACTAACTATTAATAACCTACAAATTAATACTAACTATTAATAACCTACAAATTACAGACAAAGGCGATCTGGTCCAAGGGTGCTCAGAGAGGTAAAGTGACCTGCCTGAGGTCGCATGAGCGATTCCACTGACTTAACCGAGGCAGAGCTGGGATCAGTTTCCTAGTCTTGACTCTGAGGCTGAGGCTCTCTCTACATCTCTTGGTTATATGCTAGAAGCTTCTTACACTTGAGCAGGTGCAGATGGTTCCCAGAGGGGAGAGGTTAAATGTCAGAGTTTCCTTCATCCCTGAGGAGATGGGATAGTGGTTTGGGACCACTGGAAAGGACGTGAAGGTGAGAGTCCTAGTCCTTGGGTAGAATGGAATGATGTGATAATGATAATGACAATGATAATGATGACAAAGGTGATAATGATACAGTAGATGGTCATGGCCAACATCTACTGTGACAGCCACTGTACTAAGCACTTTATATATATTATTTCAATGAATCGTGTCAGTTAAGTATTGTTCTCCCCATTTTACAGTCAGGAAGACTAAGGCTCAGAAAAGTTAGTACCTTGACCAAGGTCACACAAGTAAGTACTGGACCCAGGATTCATGCTAAAATCTTTAACACCATCAAGTCCCAGCCACTAATGCTGTCCGATACCACCACCCCCCATCTCCCCCCCATGCACACACAGCATAGGGGTCAAGGTACCTTCCTCCGCTGACCCAAAGAGAGAGTCACCAAGTTGGGGAAAACAGTGTCACCTGCCTGCTCCGGTACACTATTATTTGGTCAGTCAGTAGGCCATCCAAGTAAGTTTCCTCAAAGTTGAGCCTAGCAGAGGTGACAGACTCATGTCTGTATTCATAAGCTAGAGGGCAGAAAGGTAAAAGAGTGCCGACTTCGTGAGCTTGTCCATCGTGTAATTAGCAACCCCTTACCTGGACGCTGTCCCCTTCCTCAGGGGCCATCAGCACCAGGCGCTCTGTCGCCCGCTCCCCCATTCAGTGCCCACGCATCAAGCCTTTTGTCTTTGCCAGACACGTGGCCAGGGGCTGGGACACAGAAGTGAACACAAAGTTTTCCTGCCTCTAAAAGGCCAGCAGTCTGGTAGGGGGATTCTAGGGATGTGTTCGTCTTGATGAAATGCGGTAAATTGGATACACACGTTAATTTTTGCTCCTTCCTAAAACCCTGCTAAGGTGACAGTTAAGAAATATTTCAAGAGAATAAAAGAAGAGACAACAGAAGATGAAAAATGTCAACAAAAACTTTAAAGCTCAAAAATGATAACATGGCAGATGAAAGCTGAATTGTAGGGTTTGGGGGAACAGGAAGGGGGCAAGAGAGAGGAGGGCAGAAAGCCCATGAAAAATAAGCAAATTCTCACACACACCCCAGGGAAGCTTGGGAATGGGGGGGTGCACCAGGGAACTTGAGAGGAGAAGTGGGAGACAGGATGGTGAACAGGGCTGGCTGGAAGTTTCCATGAACATCACCAGGCCGCCCTCCCAGATCGCCTATCCAAGCAAGGCATCCGGGACCACCTCTCCCCAGCCCAGGAGGAGGCAGGAGATTTACTTTTCCCTATTAGATTGGCCAAACCACAAAGTTTGACAATGTCAACTGTAGGGAAAGCTTTGGACAAATGAACCCCCTCCAACATGTTAGTGGGAGGTGAGTTGTAGCAGCCACTTTGCGGCGCGCTTTGGCAGTGTCACCTTAAAAAAAATTCACACACCCTATGAGCCATCAGTCCCCCTCACCCCAGAACTCCCTGGCTCATGTATTCAGGAAGACATACAAAAGAATCCTCTTTGAAGCATTGCTTGTAATAGTAGAAAGAGAGGTGGGGGCGGGGAGGTCAATAAATCATGCAACATCCCCGCTATGGACTAGAGGCAGAAATTAAGCAGAATGAGTGATGGCAATGAATAGTGACAGGGAAAACCCTAAAGAAACAGTTGTTGGGTACAGTAAATGCAATGAGAGAGCAGCACAGGGAATATGATAACTTCCTGTTGACACACACTT